GGGGTTTGAGTGGCAGCTGGAGACCATATTGAGATGAACACAGCACTTCTTGTTGTTAGATTTAGATTAGAACCAGATGTTAAGTCTGCTACTGCGAGCAGTTTCACTACCTGCCTGTCTTTGAATTACACCCCGACTTCCTCCACCGCCTTTTATTATCATCTGCCCGCGAACATAAATGGACCTGAGCCCGGTTATATAAAGACCTGACTGCGGCTCAGGTGGGTAGATTATCATCAGCAGGATTATTAGGAGTACAGAGCCTGTTTAGACAGTCTAGTCAGGGTATGTGTCCTCGCTATCGCATGCAGGGGATATTACCGTTATAGAAAAGGACTGAAAGTCTGAATGTGGCTGTGCAGAACAGCTTCTCAGTCCCAGCTCTCCTTTTTATTTAAAACACAAACAAACTTAGGAGTAGGTCTAGGTTGAGTCTGTGTCGTAAACCTTTGGACAAACAAAAACTCACCAATGTTTGGTTTTATGCATTTAGTGCAAAAGAGAAGTTCATTTTTTCATCTCGTCAGCATGTGAGACAACAAATAAAGTCAACTAACAACGTTTTACAACTGTTTCACAAACATATCTGGATATATTTGTAGTTCATTGCATTTCTGTTTTGAGTAGTTCTCAAAAATGCAAAAGGCAAAAGAAAAAATAAAGAAAAACTGCAGCTATTCATGCAATTATTGGCTGAATGAGTTCCAGAATGAGCACTGCATTATTATTCATAATGACACACACTTTTTTTTCCTAGAAAAAGGAGGTGTGGACCTCTTGTACCCAGTAATTTGTACCCATGGCTGCATTGATAGCCCAGGAGCCCCTCGTTAGTCACGCCTGCACCGCTGACCCGTTTAAAGTTTCCCAGAGACACGGCGTCGCTGATCATGCGCCTGCATCATGACTCTGTCACCTCAGTCTGTCCACCTGCCTGTATGGCTGTATGATTAAGCTTCTCTCTGACTGACTGTGCTGACTTAACCACGTGAGCCCTGACCCGTCTGTGTGCTCGAGCAAACTCTCCCTGAATGGTGGCTTTGACTGCCTGAAGCATCACGTCCAGGCAACCAGTGTGAACCCAAAGCCTCTTTCCCTCTGTCTTACACTCACATCTATTTTCAAATGTGATGCTTTTTAAAAATAAAAACATGAACATCTGTCAGCACATTTTAGTCACCTTTAATTATGTTTCCACTTCATTTCACTGACTCATCATTTGTTTCACTTTAATGTAAACACTTACTGCAGCTAAAACCGTACAAAAATCATGATAACATCAGTGAGAACTTGTCTTTAGTAATGCATTATTTTCATGATCAATACTTTTTCCAAAGATCAATGGTGTCTTTGAGTTCATCTGAGCCAAACTGGACCTTATCCAACATCCAACTTTCAGAGGCTTTTCCAAGCTCCTTAAATTTTGAAGGCCTCTTTGGAAACTCACACTATCACAAACTGCTTGTGTTGGCATCTGACTAACAATTATTTTCATTAACAATTTATCCACAGATCATTTCAGTGAATAATAACTTAACTGTTTTCTCTGAATGCCACAGATAACTCAGTTTTGAGTTTTCCTTTCCTCCCAGAAGCTGAGCCCATTTTTTTAGTTTCAAATTTAAAGATTTTTACTTTAATCAAGAAAAACAGCGAATTGTTGCATTTTAAAGTCCAGTCTGTTTGACTGGATTACTTGAAAACTGGTTGAAATTGTTAATCAGAAATTAAATTAAGACAATTCAGTTAAAACTTTCATGCACACATATCACATGTGACCACATCACACGATGAACTCGATGATTTCTGCTTTGGGCATACCTTTGCTCTTAAAGGCTGCAAAGCACCGCGTTGTCCTGCACACATCTCCTATTTCATTCGGTTAAATGAAGTTTAAATGATGCGACACTGTGATCTGACTCATGTTAATCTCTGCTTTGAACGGTTTCACTGTGAAATCAATCTAACACTTCGTTTCCTCTCAGAAACACTGCTGCACCGACCTGGCTTCCCCGAGGCAGACACCGCTCTGTTATACCCCCCTCCCCTGTCCCCGGACCCCATCAGCCCGCTGACTCACCTGGGGACGCTGCCGTCCGGACACGATGCAGCACGGACGGGTGGATGGGACAGGTAAGACGGAGAACCAGCCGGGTGCTCAGACCTCCGCGACAAAAGTCCCGAAACACACACACGCAGGGTGTCCCGGGTCGGGAAAGGTGAGGTCACGGTTTGCTGGAGTTTATCCCAAAGTCTCTGAGAGGAGGTGAGGAATGAGCGCGTGGACGTGAAAAAGTTTCAGGTCAGCTTCGTGTTTCTGCCGCGCTGACCTTCCCTCGGTTTTACTCACTGTTGGAATGAAGTGGTGCAGTGATGGTGAGGAGGTATAAAAGTGCCAAGAAGTATTTGGGGAGGTAGAGACCCCGCCCCCCGGCCTTTGAAATCCGAACAATGTTGAGCGCGCGGAGAAGTTTGGAGAGGTGAGACCTGCTATGGCGCACGAGCGCACAAATGTTTCTGCTTCCTAAAGTTCATCAAGTGTTTTACAGATAATTTGTGACTGATCAGTGACTCTCTAATGTTCAACTTTCTCACTCTAACGTCATTACTAAAGTAATGTGATTACATTAACAGTTTTTAGGCCAAAGAAAACGAGTCCTATGTGGCAGGAACTGTTCATGTCAGACGAACCAAAACAGTTTGAATTATGATATTTGAGTTAAAATCCTGCGCGTGATAGGATATTTGTTTTTATGAATAAGTCATGTGACCTGAACATATAATCAGATTGGGTGTTACTGTCGTTCTGGCCTTTAGCTATGAAAACTTAAATGTAGTCTGAAAAAGACTGGAGCATAGACTGCATATAAAAGATGGATGTATCCAACTTGGCATCACAGTTTAGTTACTGAGGTCCAGTTTTAAAGCTGTACATTTAAGCTGTTGCTATCTTGGTTTTGTGAGCCCAGATGTACTGAGATAGGTCTTTCCTGAAGCATATTCTGCTTCAATCTCATTTTTATTTGGGAGTTGCAGGGAGCATTTTTATATAAACCCCTAAACAGCTGGACTTTATTTTGCAGACAGAATGGTCGCCCCCTGCTGGTCATCAGAAAGAAAGCTGCTTTATAGGGTATTTCAACGTCACTGTCACGCTTCAGCCATCTTTTATATACTGTCTATGGCTTGGAGCTACACTTCTGTTTTAGTTGAAGCAACATCTTATCCCATAATCGTATCCTGGACCAGTCAGCCCACAAATCACACACTGGTGTCCAAACTACAGCAACCAACAACTGGTCATAAGGGAAAAATGAGTATTATCCCAAACAGTTGCAGGTGGTTACTGAAGGTTTCTGGCAAGCCCCATGCAGACCTAGAGATCGATCAGAGACCAACCTGGTAATCACCAGTTGCTAGGAAACCATGCATTCTGCAACCAGTTGGTATGCGGTTGTAGGAGGTTGCTGGCAGTTTCTAGAATAAAACTGGTCACAAAGAGGTTTTACATGATGTACCAAAAACCTCCCCGTGGTTTGCATGGAAGACTCCAACTTGTCTGCAAACACTGTTTGCCTTCAAAGTAAACATGTCGGTAAGGTTCAGCTTGTATTTTAAAGGTAAAAGTTTTCTGTTTTCAGTTTGGGTCCCACTTTTTTAGGTTTTACTGCAGCCCACAGTGTAAATGAGTTTTTGCAGACAATTCGACACTTCCATGCAAACTACAACTGACCTGGGCAATCTGCTCGAACCCAGCAATCACATAGAGGGTTTAGGTGCAGTCCTTTCTATGTGACCAGTTTCACCAAACAATAGCTGCAAGCTCGAAACTCCAGCAACCGCTCACAACCAGTCGAGGAATACACTTTTTTCTTAATCAACCTCCTGCTCCTCACCAGCTTGGGTATAAATTCTCTGAAGGTTCTAAAATTTCTAATTTAAAAAACTTTTCTTCCACTTGTGGATTTTAGGGCCCAGACACCTGTCGAGTTCATCATACTAACAAACCCAGTAATTGTAGTGATTTTAAACTTTCAAATACTTGTGTGCTAGAACAACATCTGGACCAGAAGATGTAGATGCAAGTGTCTTTCTGTCCACCCCTCCCCCCGTCCTTCTTCAGTTCATTCTGTGTTCCTGGTGTGAAATACCAGGAGCCCTGCGCTCCTGACGCCCTTTGACCTGTGAAAATGTGAACGTCTAATTTAAACTACAAACTGGTGAAGACACACAAAGCCATTCAAGTCTGAACCCTGACCCGTGGAGAGAGGCGTTAGTAGGATCTGATGGCCAAGCAGGCGCTCGCCCTTATGGAGACCAGCTGGTCTGAATACATGTGTCATCATCAGGGTCGAGATTATAGAAGGACTTGTATCCTTGGTGACTTTTCTAAGTGCACAAATAATATATTTGCTAAATGCTTTCTGTGCTCAGTAACAGTTTAAGGGTTTAAAAATAATATAAACCATAAGAAAGAGAAGTGATACATTTTATTTTCATTTTTCGTGATGTTAGAGTTATTGTAATAGAACTGAGTTAAAGTTTGTTGTCTGCCATAATAGGATTGGAAAATATTTCTTATGAGTTGTTCAAACATGAATTTCTTTCTACTTAAAGCTTGAAAAGTGAAGTCGTGTTTCTGTACTGAAGAGTCCAAAGTCTGCATGTGAAGCTCAAACATCTACTGGGCCATCTATGTTTGGGACTTTAGTCACTCTCAGTTTCTCCACTTTTTTAATATCTTAACATCCAGATAATAGTTGTGAATGGAAAGTATGTGCTCTTACCTTAAATGTGTGTGAGAACTTGGTTGGTGCCACAGGAAACCGCAGCAGGTTGATTTTTAACCACTTACATAATTCAGCTGTCTTTTGAGTCCTTCCTTATTCCCTTGCCTTCCTCCTCTCCTCCCCTCCTCTCCTCCTCTCCTCCTCTCGTGTCGACAGTCTTCATTAGGAGTAGCATTCCAGACTCCAGACCCCGGGGTCGTAACTCTGTGTCTGGCTCCTCATTACATCGCTACAGCGGGGAGAAAACACAGCTAATGTGACAGGCGCTATTGTTAGCAGAGCAACACGGGGTCAGTCAGCTTGTTCTTTCAGCCTTTTGCCTGCTGTTCAGCTCAGCATTTAAAATCGAATCACACAGGAGGAGGCCGCGTTAACAGAAGTAATGAACACTTTACAAAGTAGAAAGGTTGTAAATAACCTGCTCAAACTCGGGATCAAATGAATAGAAAAAGATACGATAAGATACCTTTATTAGTCCCACAAGGGGAAATTGTGGGACTAATAAAATCATTAAAATCTAAAGCCTTTATTTGATTAAAGCACTGCTTTGTTGTCTTGTAATTACAAAAGATCCAGCAAGTGGAAACATAATATCAAATACTAAATGTCCATTCAGAAAACCCAAGTCTGTGTTTGAGCTTCAGGAATCTTTTGTCCACTTAGTCTAGTTTTGTTCTGGCAGTGGCTCACCTGCTGTTCACTTACCTGCTGTTCACTTACCTGCTGTTCACTTACCTGCTGTCAAAACACGAAATATCTAAAATTTAATGACTGGAAATAAGACTTTGAGGGTTTTTTCTTTAAATTAAATGTCAGTCAGAGGAGAAAATGAACAATACATGAAACAAATAATGTGATTAAACAATAGCTTTTAAGTTCTGCCTATATTTGAATAATGTTTCTCTTTATTTGCAAGAAAAAACAAACATGCATACACATCCATCATATATCTCCTTTGGTTCATATTAAACATGGCCCAAGTTTTGAATAGTGAGGTCAGGGTATGTACAAGCAGTCCACCCTGCTCTAAAAGTTTTATCCTTTTGACTGTTTTGAACTGTGAACATGTAAATCTACTAAAAAATGAAAAAAATAGATCCAGACATGAGCAAAGATGCTCTGTGGAACAGAATGAAACAAGAAAAACCAGAAGAAGAAATGAAATAAGCATGAATTGATCAACAAAGAAAAGCAACCATAGATCTAAACTGTAAAATGCATATAAAGTAGCATGTATTGAATAATAAACTGCATGTATATGCATCAGCATATGTGTATTAACATGTTATTTTTGTACAAGTAACCTGTAAGTTAACTAGTTCTGATCAGACAGGATTATTTTGCTTTCATTTGGTCCAGAGTCTGTATCTGAAAGTTACATTTGTGAAAATGTGACATTACTGCATCTCCTGTCTTTTCTTTCTGTGCTGAGAATGTTTTCCAGCTATAAAAAGAACTGCTCCATGTTTTAATGAGTCTCTAACAACACTGTTATCCCATCTTTGGCTTGCCTGTATTTATATCTGCTGCTGTTGAGTCTCTTCTAAAGATGGATGGAGTGTCTGCTGATGATAATTGTGTGCTTAGTCTGAGCTACGTTGTGGGAACATGAAAAAGAGTGTAATTCAAACTACAGTGGGGTTTGTTTCTTGATAACATGGTGGTAAAACTCGAGTCTGCTTCATTCATGTGTCACTCAGCATTGTTTTTTTAAGGAAACGAGCAGGTTTTCACCACTTTAACCACGTCCATGTGTTCGTTTATGATGGCAGTGAGCTGTCTGCCTGAAACGGAGTCTCTTTGCACACATTTAGTTTCTGTGAAAAACACCAAACTGGGCTGAGATGCTGCAGACATCACACAGAGTTTAGAAACGGACCTGATTTAAAGTCAGACGATGATGTTTTGGAGCACTGGTCATTCCTGTATTATGAATATTTGTGACCCCTGATTTTTCCTAAAGTGCTACAGTGATGTTCACACTTGTAGATAAACTAACAACTGCTGAGTTATTTTATGTCATAAAATTTGCCACAAACATTTCTATCAACACTTTTATACATAGTTTTTCTGTTGAGCACTATCAGAATCTTGGCTTTTCCCCACAAACACACTATGTGTTGTTTTTTGCTTTTCTTTGTGACAAACATCCTTGTCGTCCAATCAGGAGACTGAACTCCGGGTTTCAAGGCTGTCAGTTACTGGGAGCATCAGCAGATCTAGGACGAGAAGCCCACGCAGACCAGAGTGTCACCATCCTGCACGCCAAGGTCGCTCAGAAGTCCTACGGCAATGAGAAAAGGTGTGGTGATGATTTTATAGAAATAAAATAGATTACACAAATAATCCAAAATCAGTTGATTCTGTTCATGTGGACGTAACGTTTTCAGTGGGAGAAACATTTTGTCACTCATCCAGGTGACTTCTTCAGTCTCAGCTGACTGCAGGTTTCTCCAATCTTATAAACAGTTTATTTGCACAATGACTGAAACCAGGCGCATGAATAAACAATGAGCTGTGAGGTCAGTTTATGATCATTAATCTGCGTGCATTAATCTCATTGACCAATGATGATTGAGCATCAAGACATTACACAAATAAACTTGCAGCATTAACACATTTTATTAAACCCAACAGAGAAACAAACAGATTCGTCTGACTGATCTGAGGGACAGGCTCAGATTTCCAAGTTTATTTGGCAGTTACTTTAATATCCACAAAGATCCACAAAGTGTCATAAAACAGTGATAAAATGGTTTCCTCGAGAACAACAGGTGATTTCTTTTGGACGCAAACCCCAAAGAAATCCTGTTTACTTACACATGAAGTCGCAGAAAGCAGGAAATTAATAAGAAATCTGCAACATATTTGACATTTGGTGGAAACTTAATAACAAACCAGTCATTTCACCTCTAGCTACAGCAACTGGCACACAAAACTAAAATTAAAGATGAGATTAAAGACTTGAAGTAGAGGAAGGTGAATATACTTTTGAGTTTTTGAGAAACTGCAAAGTTTATTTGCAGTTTTTTATGTGCAGCCAGTTTCATGAGAGCCAGGCTGTGTGTTATGGATATAGTTTGCATGATCAAAACTTTGTTATTTGATTTTCTGATGTCATATTCTGTCCTGCAATATGCTTCTGAAGATTCTTATTCATGATGTAATTTGTTCTCCTGTGTGTCCTGTAACTGCCCTGAGCTGTCATATTCATGCAGCTGAAAAAGGCTGATGTGAACTGGCTGCATGTTCACCTTCTTTAACCAGAGTTCATTATTGTGCACGACAGTTAGAGTTGTGAACAAACAAGTTTCTTCTAATTAAACTTGCTTTATGTTGAGCAGGACATGCATTTGAATAAATCAAAGAAACCTTTATTCGTCTGACCAATCATGTGATTTCACAGTATTTCCCATTAGTGAGACTGAGTTTGTTGCCTGTGGTGTTTAAGGCA